GTCACACACGTGTCCAAGTGCTTTCAACTGCTGTTTTATAGCCCAGTACAGAGAAACAAGGCACATGAACACCTCCTTCTTAGTGAAGGATTAGCACCCGAATAACCTTATATCTTAAATAAAAACGTCTTCACTGTGCTCTTACCCAGTTACACATCCTCTTCTGAGCGAGTAGATAATACTGTCCCCGTCTTTCTCCAGACTCTGGGCGTCTCTACCGGTACCTCTGTGAGAACATGGCCTCCTGTCAATCAAACCCCACCTGTCCAATCAGGCAGGAGACCCCGCCCACTGCCCGGGACCAGGGGCCGTAATTGGCCACTTCACGGCACCAGAGAGGTCAGGCCGACGCCAGATGACCCTTGCAGGCTCTTGGGTTTTGGGGTGTCTGTGTGGAGTTCACACTGTCTCCAGTCACAGCCGGCTTGGGGTCCAGCCAGGGTCACCCCGAGGGGAGCAGTCTGTACCTTGTTGAGTCTGTTCTGGGCCCAGGAAGACCTGAGCTCATGACACTAACAGTCACTGCAAGTGCAAAGGAACACAGTCCAGCATGAAGCCCAATTTAAATCCATTTTATTTGACACAACTTTGTTTAGTTACAAGATAATCACAGCATACCAGCAGTGCATGTCACTTCTTTCCTTTAAAAAAAGTTAAACAATAAAATTAATCTTAAAAAACAGCCAACCATTCTGAAAGCAAAAATCATTATCCCAAGAAAACAAAAGATAAGGCAAATATTCTTTTAACTTAAAACTCTTCTACAGTCTAATTTAAAACTACCCCCCTCCCCCCCATTTAAACCCACAGCAGGAAAAACCCTTCACCAGCCCTTAAGGTAAGAAAATGATATTTCGGCACACTGCAGCAGAGATCATCAGCAGGCCTTGTCGTCCTTATATACACACGAAGTGGGGCGCCCGGGGTCCAGTCTGTGACAGGGCCCCGTCACAGGAAAGCGAGCAGCTCTGAAGAGCCGAACACCAACACCAGCCTTCTGCGTGATCGTCTGAGTCAGGCCCCCGCACGACACCGCCGTGTTGGAGCTGCTCCTGTCCGAGCCTGGTGTTGTGCCACGGGCCGGGCTGCTCATTCTGATGTGTCGGGGCTCTCTACAGAGGGGAACACCTCCACAACTCTGTAGAGGGGCAGGTGGGGGAACACCTGGGTGCCCACTGGCTCTCTACAGTTTTATTGGAAGCAGGTGAAGACGAAGCAGAGCAGATCTAAAGTGTAAAATTGCAATTAAAGAACCCAACAGACACTGGGGCGTCAGGCGAAGTCCCCCCTTACAATACCGGAGCAGGAGGGGCCCCTCAGACACCCCGCCTTCCCCTGCAGCACACAGGGGTACGCAGGAGGCCCTCTCCCAAACCGGGGGGCTCAGTTCATCATCCTGTCTACCAGGAGCTGAGCTGAGACCCCCAGTACTCTCCTTCATCACAGTGCCAACAGTGGGGAGACTCTGTGTTAAACTGGGGTGTCTGTGGTGTCAGGACCCCAGGGGAGATCAGTGAACTGCACT